ATTGATGCATCACTGTAAGATTAATGACCTTACTTCTAAGAGTAGGAACGCAAGAATAATGGATGTTTTACTGATACTTTCTAATCTTAAACTTAATGCTTCAGTACGAGCTTTGTCTGCAACTAAGAAGAATTTTGTTTTAGAATGATCATTTCTCACTTTCCACCAAAAAAAGACATTAACTTTACAGGTGAGCGGGAAGGCAGTTTGATTTCAAAGTATAAACTAGCCTCTTTCTTTACTTCTTTCTTTTCTATTTCATACTTAAATTTGGTTCCTATAGGAGTTGATCCTATTCAAAGGCAGAACTTCTGCTTTAAAGTTCTTGCTAGCGATGTCCTGAATTCTCAAAGAATTGTGAAAGATGGGCCTATGGGCTGATCTGGAGACTTAATGGCCTGAAATCTTTTGGAGCAGTAACGGCTTGATCTCTTCTAGAATGACAAGTATGGGAATCCCACTGCTGCTGTAAGAAGTCTTTTCTATTCCTTGCTGTTTGTGTGGAAAACAATTCTGACATGTAGTTTAAACTTTCTTTGCTGCAATTAAGCCCTGTAATGTTTGTGCTGTGCTTATACCTAACAGGTATGAGAACAAGTGTTCATCTCCTTTGTAGATGCTTTAAGCTATGCGAAGCTTGTAACTGTCTCTTTCATCTCTTTTAAATGCTGAATTTTCCTACTTAGTGATTCTGGTTATTGGAAAAAAATTGGAATATGACATGTCTTCTAGTGGTCTTACCTGGACTTTGGTAGGCTTATATCCTTCTGGAGAGTTGGTATCCAAAACTGGCCATAAAATCTAAGTTAAGGGCTCAGAAAGGCTGAGTAAGACAAGACTTCAGTTAGTATGTGTACATCCTGTGTAAGAGGAGTATTGCAAGTTTGACACCTTTGCAAGGTTTTTATTTTTAAAATTCTGTTTAGATTCTCTTCTGTGGAATTGCAGTCAGCTACTCATTCCATGTTTTGTACTTGTGCAGCTGATTATTGCTACCAGAGCATAATACTTCATGCTTATCCTTATTGAATTGCATCCTTTTTATTTCAGACCATTGCTCCAATTGGGCAAGATCTTTTTGCTGTCCAGAGTGCTTGCAGATCATCTGCAGGTATAAAGGTAGTCTGTACTCCACTGTCCAAGTCATGGATTAAAGTATCCTATAACACACTCGGAGGAGACCCCTGGAGAGCTCTGTTTGATGCATCCTTCCACTCTTCCATTGAACCGTTGGAGAGCCACGTGCACAGAGTAGTTATCAATGGTGGACCCGCTTTGTATAAGCCGTGTTCTTACTTACAAAAATGTCATGCAAGATGGCATTAAAAGCTCTAAATTTTATAACGTGATCACATCTTCTGTGTTTTTTCTATATGAGGTCTGTTAATTTTTCTCAGACGGAATTTTTGTCTGACACAAGCTTCTGAAAAGGCCATCCATGTTGGCTTGCTGCTGTCTAGGTAATAATAAATAGGTGGTTCTGCTTTGCTTTGGTTTTCCTCTGAGGTATTGAGCACGGGTTGTCTGACCTGTTATTTTCATGTTCTTCAAAGACAGGTGCTTAGGCCTTTTTAATTTTCTGGATCATTCATGTTCTCAAAGTTAATGAAAATAATAGTCAGTGATATTGAGAGAGAGAACTGTCTGAGGTGGTCTAGTGTGAATTTTTTATTTTGCTGCCTTGGGAAAAAAAAAAGTGTGGTATTTTTCACGTGTTCCTCCTCTTGTTGCCTTTAATTGCTGATGTTGGTCAGTAGTTTGAAGATTGGAACATAGCTTCAGCTATGTCATGAACAACGATGTTACTATTCCTCCTTCAAAGGTAGTAGCTGGAAAAAAGGCATCTGTTCAGCAGCCTCTGTATGCCAAGCTGATAACCAGCACTTCCAAAGCCAGTATCATTATTTAAACTAAAAGGCATTTATCTGTATACTTGAAAATTTGCCAGTGTCCATGGGCATGGTTTCTAGTGAAGCAGAGCTCTCTAGAATAAAGTTTGTATTTGGCATATGCTTGTCCTGATTAATGGCAGTGGGAGGATACTCTTTCAAATATGAGGTGGGACTTTGGATGTGGTTTAGACTTCCCTTTTAAAGGGACTTGAAGTTTCAAGTATTCAGAGAACTGAATAAATTCTCATCCTTTAAATGTAGATCAAATTTCTGGTGCGTGGAAACTGTTAGAAACCGTAGCATGTTGTGAATTTGACGTTTGTGAGCTTTTAAAGGAAATAAATATGATATGTGTTGTAGGACTACTTTATAGAGACACGGAGGCATTTTTTACGAAGCATACAGTTTGAATGTTTAAAGTGCTAAGCTAGTTGTCATAGTCTCTGGGACTGGAATTGAGCCTCTCTGTCCTTAGGAATACCTGTTCTCCTCTCTCACCAGAGGTGGAGGAAGAAAAGTGCCTGGTGTATCTCCTGTGGAAGAGGAGGTGGGCTCTTGTTCTCTGTTTAGGGACATCCCCTTTCTGGCTGGCTGTTGACTCCACTGTGTCAATCTGCCAACAACTGGGACTGAGTCTTGACCTCTCGGACCCAGCCGTCTGCCGGGGAGGGGACCTGAGGAATCTGCTTTTCTGGTCCAGGCTGTCCCTACATTCAGTTAAGGCAGTGTCAGAAGGACTTCTGGTGTTTCAGCTGTGACACAGCAGCAGCAGGTTAGATTATACTATTGCTGTAAGCCGTTTTCTCAATTGTTTCTGCAAACTCAGAGGAGTTTTTAGTAATTTTCTAACCTTTTACTGTTTGGTGTGGTTAAAAATAGATGCCTCAACAGACTGAAACTCAATCGTTTAAGTTCAGACCTGCACATTAGGCATCATTCATGTTACCCCTGTGGATTTCCTTTTCCTGTTTAGGTAGCCCCCTCTCCCCCCCCCATTTAACATCTTGCTAAAATATAGCTATGGAGTAGAAAATGTTCTTTTAATTGTCTGAAGTACTGCAAAAGCAATTTCAACAGCAGGGGGTAAAAATGAGAATTTAACGAGGAAAACTTTTTCGTACCTTTCCAGATACTTGCTTAAGAATAGTACAAGAATATATAGCATATAGGGTATCAGTATAAAAATAGACTGTATGAAATACGTGCCGTGTGGTTATAAACCACAACTTTTTACACCTAACAATGGCAACAGGGTTTTATATGCTGCCATAAAGTGAATTTATCTTGGAAGTTAAATGGCTTTCTATTTACAGTCACTTTCTGAGGAAGAGACTTTTTACATATTCCTCACAGACAACGGAATTAGAAAGAAGAGCTTGGGCCTCATCTTTCCCTTCAACAAAGGAATGCTCTCTTGATCTGCAGACGCCAGTTGCTTTCCATATGTTAAGTCCCTGTATCACTCAAATGTCCTTTAGCTATTTTGTTGCTCTTCCTATAACTAGTTGTATTTAGTTGTCACTCAAGTGTGCAATACTTCTTATGAACATGTATGTAGTACCAACATAGGAGCATCATATTTATCAGCTTGATCAAATAACTTCTGTAGCAGGTTTTAAGCTAAATTCCAGACTCACATGGAATTTTTTTCTTTGAAGGGTAGAGTGGTGAAGGTGGAGACAGAGTGACAAACACTTCAAACCAGTGATTCCTGATCGTTGCTGATGCACAAATATCGTTATCCTTGCGAGGTTTTTGGTATACACCTGCCATGGGAGTCAAATTACTTCAGATAGTGTTTTGTTATGGTGCTGCTTCTGTGATTTTTTTCTGTTTTGTTCTGTGATTTCAATTATACAGTAATTGTACTTAAATGGAAATAATTAAATAACTTGAAGACAGTTGTTTTAAGAAATTTTCTTGCCATAAACTTAGAAAAGGGATGGGTACCTGTGCTTCTAACGCTGGTATAAACGTCTAGTTTTAAAACTGACTTTAAAAAGAATTTGAACTAATATTAGCTTTTCTGAAGATTTTTTTCAGCTAAGCTGTTGCATTCTTCTCTAGGGCTGGTATAGCTATACCAACGTAAGGATGAACTGCAGTATTGATAAAAGGAGTTTCTAAGCTTAAGTATAAAGCTCTGATACATCCACTAGCAGTAGAGAATTTTGACTTTGTGCTTCATCCAGTATCTTGTAAACAGTAAGTGTTCAGATGAGACTTTGGAGAATTAAGATACTCAAATTACAGTCTTGGTATAGTTGCTATCTATGGGGCAAATGCGCGCTGAATGAGGAGGGTCACGCTGTCTCAGGGGTTTGGCACTGGTGACAGAATTTGTGCCGTAGCGTCTGGTTTTCAGCAAGGTTACTGGAGCCTGTGCTGAAGGCTTGTGAGACCCAGGGTGGTAGCTAGAGCACTCCGGTTTACTGCTTGGCAAAGTGCCTCCAAACAGCAGTTGCCCTGTTGCGCATCAAGAAGGGGAAGCAGGAGGATGACTGACAACCTCTTACAAAGTTAGCAATTTTTTAGATTCCACTTTTCAATTTTAACCTGATCTGGTTTTTGGTTGTAACTTAATCTGTCATAGCTTGAATGTGGCATATTTAGCTCTGACTTCCAGGTCCCCTTGGAGAACTTGTGTGTTTTGAATATAAAGTAGGGTGCTAAGTAGAATAGAAATACTGGGTACTGTTTGCAGAAACATTTTGTGAAATATGAAAAATATGAAAGGGATCTTTTGAATTTAGGTATGTATAGCATTAGAGTGGTATACAGCTTACCTGTACAAGATTGTCAGCATGACATGAGATGTTTCATTAATGGCTTTACAGTCGTCTTTTTACAGTAACAACTTAAAATAGGGCTTGAGGATTACTTTTTCTTTTTTAATCGGTATGTCCTTAATGGAAACCTGAAGAAACAGTAAGGCCTTTCAGTCATTAAACTATTCTTTAGTCATTCTGTGAAGTTGGTAAACTTTTGGACATAAGTTTAACCTGTCTGGACAGCTAATTTACATTGTAATGCAGGTTGAATAAGAGAGTTAGTATTTTTATTACGTACCCATTTTCAATATGTCTGTTTGATTCTTGGATCTCATAGGAATCCGTCAACTGCATTCTACCAAGCGTTCCATTTCAACAAGTTACGCGAGTCAAAGACCTTCTGGGATAGGTATGAATGCTTAAGTATGGAATGCATACGTGCTGAGGTATGCATGAACAGCTTTGCTCTATGCAAGTTTCTCGTCATTTTTGTTTGCACAGAACTGCTGCTTGTGTTTAGAACTTCATATTGGACTTCTGCAGCCTGAAGGTCTGAAAACAGTCATGGAAGTGAAGTATTCATACTGAAACTTAAAAATAAATAAGTCTAAAATATATGACATAGCATTTTTTTCTTCCTCCTTCCATTATGCATGTATTATACATAATGTGTAAGCTGAAAGAGTTTAATGCTACTCAGCTACTAGCTGACCTGCGCTAAAATATTTACAGCTTTCTTTTCCAAAAAAAAGGAAACTTTTTGGCATTGTGGCTATTGAGTCCTATATCAGAAAACAAGTTGTGAAAATGCTATATTTAAACACAGCTTTGACAAAGTTAAAATCTTTCAGTCTCAAAACCAGGAAAGGAAGCTTTCTGGCTTGCTTTCATTCTGCTTAAGTAAAGCTAGATGGGGAACAAACGTGAACCGTGACAAGATACGAGAATGAAGTAAACCCACTAAGTTAGCATTGAACTCATGGCGAGAAACTGCAATGAAGTGCAACAAAGTCATATCTCTTATGGATATGACTTGTCAGAGATGCATTACTAATTCATCAGTAGCTGCAAACTGTTTCTTTCCTGCACTTTAATGATTTTGAAGGGTTTTTTTTTTTGTCAGCATTAAGTTGAAGTCCTAGTGATTATGTGACTTCATGCCTTGTGATGCTCTGGCTTGTCACAATACTTCTGCTTAGCAAGCTCTGTAGAAGCTGTTGAAGTATTGATAACTATTTCATCATTTTACTGGCTGTATTTGACTTGAGAGGCTTTTCAACTTGCAAAGCTTAACTGAATCCTTTAAAGTTTGCTTGGCAACAATTTGTGTACCGTACAACACTGATGGTTAAACGTAATGCTAATGCACCCTGCTCTGGTTTTTGCTGAAGTGCTAGCATTAGGCTAAGTTTCAAAAGCACGTCTTCCTTTTCTAGCAGAAACTTGTACAAATTTGCATTTTTGTTTTAAGCTCTGGATGATGCCACTTTCCTGTATTTATGGGACAGAGTTGGTATTTAGGTTCCAAGGACTTAATTATTTAACTGAAATAAGCTTCAGGGCCTTGAATACAAATTTGGTAGTTAGACCAAAAGCTTGCTTTAAGGTCTAGCCTTCATCTGTTTCTCTATTTTTATGTCTCCTAGCTTGAAATAATTCTTAAGATGAGGAAGCTGATTCAAAAAATGCTAAAATCAAATAATTAACAATTAAGATTGAGGCTTCACAAATCTGAGGTTTATGTACAATGTCTGAAGCAAGTACTGGAAGGATGGGATATAGAAAATCATTAAATTCAGGTAGAAGAATGTAAATGGCTTCATTTAAAAATAGTCTTGCATCTTTGCTGTTGAACACTTTGTGGTAAAAACAAGTATTTGTAAAAACATAGAAGCAAATTCATCAGGATTGATGCAAGTTTTAGACTTCTAATTTGTTCAAATTCCAAAGTCTTTGACAGGGTTTAGTAGGTTTTGCATTTGTAACCCAGTTATTAGATTTTCTTAAGATCATGTTACGTAGTTTTGCTTTATTAGATGTCGGAAACTGAAAAGCTTTCAACAGTAAACTTCCAATGAAAACCTAATGGAGGGAACTTCAAGGGCATAGCCAGTAAAGCCAGTGCTGGGGAGCACTTCAGAGGGTAGGGGTATGGTGGAGCTCGGTTGTGCGGCTCTGCCAGCGACGTGCATCCTGGCAGCAGGACGACGGGAGATTGACGGTGCCCTGGTAGCTCTGCGTTGCGGAGGCAGGAGAGCGTCTGATGCAGGTGGGGATCTGTTGTCAGACTTGAGTAGTTTGATAGTGAGTGCAGTGGTTTGGGGCTTTTTTGTGATATCCAGTTTGTGAAAGAGAAACCTCTGCTGTGAAAATGATAAGCTCGTCTAATTTCCTCAGAATCCCTTTGTTTCCCCATCCCAAAATGTGGGGGTTATCGCACTGCAAAACATAAGGATCTTAAGCCTGCTGGCAGTGGACTCTCTAATTACATTTTGCATCTCCTTCAGAAGTAGTTTGTGAACCTCAGGGGCTTGAGTTAGGAGACTTTAGTGTAAACATAATAGAAAATCTTCCTGTGTAATTTCAGTATTTTTTTTCTAACGAATACGGATTATTCTCCAATGAGCAGCCATCTCTTGGGACTATTTGAAGTCAGCAAAGCTAACCACATGCTATTGCAATAGACAGTAAAAGATTGCTAAATTGCTCCAGAAAATAGAGACTTGTTTACTTTTCACTAACACACCATGGCAGGGAAGAGTGCTGGTAACATTCAAACCGTTAAATATTAGTGAAATACCAGTTTTACTGACACATTTGCAGGAAACCTGCAAATGTTTTTCTGCACAGTGTTCACATAGGTGTTGCTAAGGGCACAAGTCTCATGGGTCTTTCTTTTCAACTGGCATGGTTACTGAGAGGATAAAGAAGGGGACTAATGGCTTCTTGGCATATTCACATGAGTCTGGGTGACTGCTCTTCTGTTGCCTTCGTATGGGAATAGTGCCATAGGAGCTTTAGGTGGGTTTGCCTAAAACATAGCCATTGTTGGTAAACTTGAATTTAAAGCAGTAGGATTTATGTTTCCATTGCATTTTTGTGTGAAGAATTAAACCTTCACAATATAAATTAACTCATAAAATGTGGATTTTCTCCCCATATCAGCACCCAGATAAATGTATTCTGAGTGTTCCTGGTAAACATCTTTCTTCTTATGTAAATGTGATGAATTAGACAGCATCTCTCCATGGGATAGATTTTGCCAAACTTCATTTCCCTATTCCATGCCTTTGTGTTAAATGAGATGCTCCTCCTGGAGACAGGAGAAAGTCGGGAATTACACATCTTCCGCTTTTTGCTTGTAGCCGTATCTGGAGGGTCTTTTCAGGGTGAAACTTTTCTGATTTGAAATTAAAAGTCTAAAATTCCATGTGAAATTTAAAAAAGGTCTTAGGATGAGGCTGACATTTCATGTAGCACACTGATCCAGTCAGTGTTGTGGTTAACGTGTTTCTTCTTGATGCTTGCTTCTTGTGGGAGTGGCGCGCAATGCGACTGTCTTCATGCGTAGGGAAGAGTGTTTGGTTCATTAATGTGACTCAAACACTTACCAAAACTATGAAGGAGACACATTTTTCTTTAATATTAAAAAAAAACGAAAACCAAAAAAACACTGCAAAACCAAAACCCAACCAACAAATCCAAACTAATTCAACTCAAATGTCTTGGTTTTCCCCAGAAGTATTGTCTTTTATAGACCTCATGCGTTGCTTCTGAGATCAATTATGATGATGTGTTGAATAATTGGTCTTCAGAGTTTTATGTAAAACTGAAGAAAATATAACTGTCCTATGGAAGCAAGTACTTTTCTGTTTGACGGAGGAGCTGACTAACGTGGAGCTTAAGTAGACTTGCAGGGAAAGCCAGGCACCTGCCGGTAATCCTGAGGCTGCGAATTCACTGCCTCAAACTTTCTCAACATTCTCATGCTTTGACAAAGAAAAATGATGAAAATCTGATATACTTGCATAGATACTTTTTCAGGGCTGGATAATTGATCGTATTGGGAGTCTATCATTATAAAAATCTCATAATTGGATGGAGGCTAATTAAACATTCCATAACTGTTTCAAGAATAGACGAGGTTCTCTGCATGGACTAAATAGCTCAACTAGTGGTAAGACATGAAGAGTGGCTGGTTAAGTGACTATAGTAGCTCATAAATGAGTAAGCCAATGAGGGGAAAGAATAAATTAACACACTTACTGTTTTAGTTTGTAGTTCACTTGCGAGCAAAACAAATGTGGGAAGACTTCAAAGTACCTTACTGTTCCCTCCAGAAAGGTTGCTTGATAATTTGATTTAAAGCAGTAACAGCGAAAGAGCTAGAAGAGCTAGGGGGGATCACTTGGTTCAGGGATATCTGTCTGAGACTGCGGTGCATAACATCTTTCCCACTTCAATCTAAAGCGAAGTGGATCTAGTGCTTTAAAGGAAGAGTCCAACAGAGACTATTGGACAAGACTCTTGCTAGCATCGGTGTACCCTTTTGTAGTCTGTTCTGCAGGCAGGCTTTTCCGCTCTTGCAGGATTAGCAATGTTGACTGATAGGTTTTATGTATCTAAAAGCATGAGGTGAATAGTGCAGTAACTCTTGATGCTAAAATTTAAAAGAAATATCAAGAGCAAGAAAAAGCAAGAAAACTCATGCATTCTGGCAGTCTTTTGGGGGGTGACTTGCTGCTAAGAAATTCCTTGGGAAAGTAGTATGCAGATAATCAGTAATACAGAATATGTTTTTTGTTACTGACTGAAAAACCTGAGGCTTCAAAATTAGTTTACATCATCCAGTCAGGAGGATTTGCAGTCTCATTTAAATGTGAAACGCTATTACCTAGGCTAGTACTTGACAGTGCCAAAGTAGGGCTGATTATAACTCTCACTCCTAATGCATCCAATGTTGGCATAAAATACACACATTACTGAGGACTGTGAAATCTCTAAAAATTAACCACTGCGTTCTTTTTTTAAGCATAGAGTGAATTAAGCTGCAAATGCCTTTATTTTGAAGTTTGATTCCTAGTCTTTCTACCTAGATTTCAAATTTTGAAGTTGACGACATGTCTCTTAGAAGGATGGTAATTATATCTAAAGACATTAATGGTGAAAACACCAAGCTGAGTACAGTGGCGCTTCTTGAATTCACCACTGAAATATATCTTGGTGCCTACAAATATGAGGTGATGTTGAAGGTTAAATTTTCCTCCAGCCGTTAACAAGTTAACATTAAGACATTAACCTTTTTTGCTGCCTTCTGATCCACTCATCCTCAATTTTTCCATTAATCACTTATTTTATTCGGTTTCCCATTCTGTGAACAGTGTTGTTCAAGTTCTGGAATAGTCTATAGTAAGTAAGCTTTCTTGAACTGCAAAATTATGCTTTACAAAGAACACTTGTTCGATCACTGAAAATACAGATATTATATAATGAAGTTGTACACTGGTATGTGTTGTGCTAACAGGGCTACCAAACACTTTTTTAAACAGTATTATAGCTTGTTGATGATACTGAAACATCTTTCCAATAATATCTTACCGTACTCCTGGGATACCATGTCTCCGTAGAAAAAGCAATGAAGTCAGAGTTATACCGACGCTTTTAAGGATGCGATGCATTATGGAAAGTGTGATTGCTGTATATTGTGTAACATGCATTAGAAATCAGACTTGCACTTAGACTTACCAATTCTCTTCCTATTTTCTTAATCTATATGTACATGATTGTTCAAGACATTTCTCTCACTTTGCTTGCAATACATTTGAAACAAAAAAATTACAGCGCTATTTTTGAGTTGTAGGCATATAGGAAAAATATACCTAAAATACAACATAAAGAATTCCGAGGTGCAAGCTGTAAGTATTTGATAAAACACTTTGTTCCAAATGCTGCATACCTGATTGTGAGCTATAGCTAAGCAGTGTTATTAGCAGTCAAAATCTAGTTTTCCCCTTGGTCTTTCAAAGTAAAATGTGAAAAAATTACATTTAAGCCACTAGGATATTTTAAACAATCAAAATGAGGATTTCTCAGACTAAATAAAGTTTTGCCTATCTGGTGTGTGTAAGGTAGAAAAATGTTGGTTTTACCATCCATCTCTGGAAATGGCAAACTGTACTTGGTAATCCCTTTCATTTTCGCTGACTGTAAATCTTGCCTTGTACTTGATGGGCTTCAGAATAATCTTGGTATACCAATATAATGTCTTTTTGGTCAGAGCCTTCATTTACGTAACCTTAACTTGGAGGTCCAAGTCAAACTGAATTGTTCTCTTAAATTACAGTGTGTATGTATGGTAGCTAGTTGGCTGCAAAAGCTCAGTGTGGAGGGGGTGGTGGAAAGTTTGCAGTTACAAAAAAAAATACTATATGCCTAATGCATCCCTTTCAGCTGCCCTACATTACTTGATGTGGATTTTTGTTTATGTATTACGGCTTTGACAATAATTGTCAGATTTCTGTAGTTCCTGGAGTAATGAACTTTGTCTAAAAGCACGGCATAGTAATCGGTCTTTTTTTATAAGAGCTGAATAGTGTCTTTCCACTTCTAACTCAAGAATTTGCAAGTTGAGGCATTTGGTGTACAGTGGATGGTGCGCTCACAGAATGTATCAAACTCTTTCCAGTTATGACATCCAAGAAGACTTATTTAACAGATTCCCCCGCTGCCCTGGTCTTTTCATAAGGACTGGATTGTGTCTATAAATTACATCCTGCAGCCATGGGATAAAATATTTTAATGCAAACTGGGATTTGATATCAACAGCTACGGATTTGAGAAAAATACGAAATCTTAAGATTTGGCAGTGTATTTGTACCATAAGAATAGCTGGCACTGGAATACTCTGCTTCTGAATGTCTCACAGGAGCTATTTGTTGTGGGGAGCACTATAAAACGCGTAAAGGACAGAATCATATGGGAATTATGCTAGCATGAAATCTCATTCTCAAATGCTTTTAGAAAGTGAAATGAAATATTGTCATCAGGATAAAACCGCATCTGACTACCTGAAGGCTGGTCTCTCAGCATGGAACTTCCCCTGGGGTGGGCGGGTGGTGGTCTGCATGGTCCTGGGCTCTGCCTGCTGGAGACGAGCAGGATGGACACCGGGATTTGTGCAGGGAGCAGGTCTGGAATCCTGACTCGGTACTTCGATAATAGCGCAAGCTGCTCTGGGGATAAGGGCAACAAGAATATTGAAACAAATAAAAGTAGTGTATAAACTACTTATAGCTTTCAGCACTGTCCCTTAGTATCGCTTTAAAGTGTAAAATATGGGTGGGAGAGCGATAGTTTCTCTGGCTGCATTCAAATCACACTTATGGGGAGGGACAGTTCTTGTACCCATGTTGTGAACACTGCGCTCATTGAGAAGGCAGACGAGAATTTGGAGCACAAGGTACAGCATGGGAAAGGTGCTTCTGCAGCATGCCATGCAGGTACGAGTGTTTCAGGTGATTAAGGGGAAGACTGCCTGTCTTCCACTTGAGAGGCTTTTTCATGGAACTGATCAAATGCCTTAACCTTTGAGTGGTGTAGTGGACTTTATTTTTTAAATAATCACACTGCAAAGTAGTTGAAACAGGAATAGAAGAACAAAGTCGCAATCTCAGATTTAACTAGAAAATTATTGACAAAAGGTGTAGTTATGCTGTAAAGGTGCAGAAGCAGATCCCATTGCAAAGTGTGCCGTTTGCTTTAATTTTGCTCCTCTTGTCTTTATCTCTTCAGTGCTGCCTCACCTGATTTCTAGAGTGGTGTTCATGAAAGGCTGTATCAGGGACATGGAGCAGTCTCAGGGATTTCGATGACTTTTGAACACAGACTTTTTTGACAGTTTCAGGTAGATCTGAATTCAAGGTGGAAAGGAATACTTAACCTTGTTGTGAATTATAAATACTTTTTATTCTGAGGAAGTTTACCACAAATATGGCTTGAAAGAGGCTTAGAAGACAGTAAGACGCTGGAACAGTTTTCATGTGAAATGGGTGTTTAGCACTTTTGTTTTAGATTATAAGCTTTGTTCAATTTAGAAATAGATGCTGTTATTCCCTCCGTCTGAAAAGTTGATTCCTTCTACTTGTAAATGCTTGGTGCTAGGTACTGACAATTCTTGTGAGACTTGTTAAAATGGATTTCTCTAAATAGTGTCATATTCTTTCAATAGTTGAGCTTTTTTCACATATGTAACTAATACTGCTGAGCATATTGCCAATATTCATTTTAAAAAGCCTTAAGTAGTTTTTTCTTGACATTTGGTTTCAGTGAGTGTTACATATTTTCAGAGAGGCGAGTTTCCAACCATGACTGCAAACCTTGCATTTTTCCTGTATGTTAACTTTTTAAAAATGTAGCTGCACACTGCTGATAGCAACTTCCATCGCTGGGGAGCATTATCAGTAGTTATCACCGGCAGGCTTGGTAAATAGTCCAAGAACTGCCGTCTTATGTCAGACACGGAGCTATGGAGTAACGTCGGACCACTGAGACCCAGTATGGGAGGGCGGACGTGGAGAGTACGGGACCGACAGAGTGTGCGTGTGGACGGAGCGTTCTGTGGCTGCAGTGGGGGGGTTCTCTGCTGTAGTAGGCGGCACGGGGCGCCCTGTCTGACCTCCTGGGCAGAGCTACAGCTCCTCGCCAAACAGATCCGAGTCTGTGAGAGAACAGGGACACCCCCAGCCCCCCGAAATTCCGACTCTGGAGAGCTACGAGTGAGCGACTGGCTCGTGTTTCTGTGTTGTGACTTGAAAACAGACCAAAAATATTAAGGCCTGGATTGCCGTAACCTGGGGTTTAAAGATGTAGTTCAACATCTTGTTTCGCACAGTAAATACACGTTCTTTATAGTGATGTCTGAGATATTTTGTTGGACTGTTCTGCACTAGTATGTCTTTGGAACAAGACTGACCCTAACTGTAACCAGCCAGCTGCAGTGCATTTCTTAGATGTTAAACGGGATCCAGTGAGAATTCGTTGAAACCGAGTAAGTGCACTCGTGGTGTTCAGGGCTTTGGTAGTGTCTTACTCTTCTATTGACTACCGCCAGTTGGTTGCGAAGTTGTAAATACAGTGCTGATCCAGGAACTTTGTAACTGGAAAGTAGTCTTCAAGTAAAGCCAGAGAACAAATATTGTAACAGGTTTCTCTTCTTCAATGCTTTATAAAAGCCAATTAGCAGAAATAAAACTAGAGGTAAGGACGTCATGAATACCCCATGAATCCCTGTTTTCCCCAGTGAAAAAAGCTAAAAAATGAGGCAAGGAATCAAAGCAGTTAATACACTGTTTATTCTAATGCATTTTTCTGGTTATGGGTATCATAAGCATAGTCTGAGGAATTATAAACTGAAGGAGCAGTGGCTCTTAAGAGCTCTAACTGTACTGGGCAATACAGTGGAGGTGGGGACTGTGTACTGAGTTCTTGAATCTGAAGCTTTAGCTTTGCAGTGAAAGCATGTTCTAGGAGTCCTGCGAGTGCCAATGGGTGCATAGTTTTAATTGAATGATACAGTAATGATCACAAAGTTTTCTCCTTATATTTACAGTGCATCTGGTGCAAGTGTTGTTGCCATTGACAACAAAATAGAACAGGCAATGGTAAGTAAAAAAATAAGTTGTTATTTCTAATAGGATTAGTGGTTTGTCATTGAGCATAAGTTTCCCGCTGTATTGTGTTTCTGTGAGTCTGTAACATCCCTTCAGTCGGGTCAGACCATCCTTTGAAAAAGATTTTCTGTATCAACTGTGGGATGACCACAAACCATGATTGCCTTAACTGTTGGCCCAGAAATGTTCTTAAATTAATTTTCCTACGAATTTCTGTGAACAAGCTGATTGAACTTAAATGGGTACTGAAAATAAATAGCCCATTTAGGTCTCTTACTTCAGCGAAGTTCATCACTAGTTTTTCTTAATTGTCACTTATGCTATGCCATCCTTGACATTTTGTTCAGCTTCAGTTACATCTGTTTGATTTTTTGTTTCTGCTGATTTAAAAGCTTTCTTATTTCTTGGTTCTCGTACATCTCAGTGCTTGGGATGGTGTAACACAGACTCCTACCTCCAGGTCAAAGCTTCAGAGCTGATGCTTTCATTCTGAGTAGCTGGAACGTAATTCTAGTCCTTGCCTTAACCAAGGTGACTAGAACTTAATGCTGAATGCTGGAAACAAAGCTTTTGATGTAAGGGCCACTTTACAGTGAATAAAAGGGCTAGGTTATTTGCTCTTGAAGGCTAATGTAGTCATATATTTCTAGTGACGGATGCTTTAGTTTTCCAGGCTTACCACTTTGATGAAAGCAGTAAACTAGTAAATCCTGGGGTTGAAGTGGAATGAAACTGTTCTTTCACTTGGTGTAACTGATAACTTGTTCTTCACAGGATCTAGTGAAAAGCCATTTGATGTATGCAGTAAGAGAAGAAGTGGAAGTCCTGAAGGAACAAATAAAAGAATTAGTTGAAAGAAACTCTTTACTTGAACGAGAAAACGCACTGTTAAAATCTCTTTCAAACAATGATCAGTTATCCCAACTTTCAACCCAACAAGCCAATCCTAGTAGCACTTCACAAGCGCAAACAGTGATAGCACAGCCTCCGCAGCCAACGCAACCTCCACAGCAGCCGAATGTCTCCTCAGCATAAAGCTTTCTTGCCTCTTTTGAAAACAAAAACCTGAGAGCAGTCTGTCCTTGTGTGCCACTGATGTCCTTTCCACTTTATATGAAAGCGAGTAGCCATGCTTCTGTTGTGTGTTTGGCCTTTTCAGTATTAGACAATCATTCTGCAAGAGCTGTCCCTCACTGGTATATCATGAAGTGCAGTTGGTGTCCGTTACGTCATCAGTGCACAAGGGAGGTCGTAGAAGGAGTTATTAATGCAGAGAGTGCATTTGCTTGGTGTGCAGGAGTGAGGTCTTTCAGAGCTTTGGTGGCTCTCCAAGGTTTCCATTTCCCGTGGATTACTTTGAGCCTTGCTATCTGGTAAGAGGTAACAATTCATCTTAAGAGCCACTGTTCTTTCAATATAAGTAACATTTGCCTACATTAGTTTCATTTATTTGTTTTATTTATTACAGGGCTGCTATTTTCATAATGTACATGAACAATGTCACAGAACTTTTTAAATTTTTTTTTTTTAATAAATGTATGTATCAGTAAAATGATAGATGGGATTGTGTTTAATAGATAAAATGTTTAGGCAATAATTGAACAAAAGAATCCTGGCATATTTCTAACACTAATGGCAATTTACCTTTGGTATTTATTTACGGTAGTAAAGATCCAGCTTGAATGTAAATTTTGTATAGAGTGTAAGTATGAAGACCATAGTGCATCTGTACAGGTAGTCACCAGTTATTGTGATATAATAAATAATTGATGGGCTATTTTGATGAAGAAAACTTTGCTCATTTCTGTTTCTACTTTCTAATAGAGAGAAATTGCCATGATTCCTCTGCTTTTTGACATTTCGTATAATTTTTTTTTTGGGTGGGAATAAAAAGCTGTGAAATTGTTCAACCTACTTTGTAACCAAAGAAGCAAAGCTGTGTAATTGAGGTTGTTTTTTTTTATTTTATAATGCACATTCTTTATGTATTTTTATTTAGTGTTTTCTCATTCACAACTTTCTTTGCTGTCTAGCATGATCTGCATGACCTATAATCTTTGAACCACTTTCGTACCTCATGTTTTTATCCAGCACTCTTATTGTAATATGTAATAGTCTGTGAACAATGTCTAATAAAAAAGAAAGAACAGCTGGTGTTGGTGGAGCTGAGCTAGTGTGCTATGCACTAGTTGTTTAAAAAAAAAATAAATGAAGTGAGCCATCTTTTGTTCATTTAAAATGGTGTTTTGAATTTCGTATGCAGAAAACGTTTTGTTACATTGCAGATTTTAATGTATTTAATAAATGCAACATGCAGATTAAGTGCAGTGTATACTGAGTATTTAAATTAAAAATGTACATTTCATAAATACAGTTTCAAGAGAGACCATTTGTGTAAACTAACGCAGTGTGTCAAATTGATGTATAAATATATATATTTTAACACATTTTCTGAAATTAAACTGCAGTTTTGTTGAATTTTTTTTGGCTGTAGATGTTGTTACAGTGTAACTAAATTCAGTAGCACTTTTTTTCTTAACAGAATGGAGAAAGGTAACTTCAGTGAGCCAGTAATAGAATAATGCCAAAATTATAACTGCTTCTCTTGCAACAGACTTTTTTCTTTTATTCTAGGACAAGCATAATTCTGATGCTGTCGGTGACCCTGTTGGTTTTGGTTTTGCACTGGTATATATAAACTAATGTTTGGCTGTGTGCTGGGGTGTTGAAACAGTTTGGTGTCTTGGGGTGTTAAAACCAAGAATTTACTTTTGAGAAACACCTACAAGAGCGAACGGCACAGCGTGCCTTCCCAGCAGGCGTCGTGGGCGCAGCTCTGAGTCGTCATCCCAGCACGCTGCAGTCCAGTTCACTCTTGAGCCTGAACCTGTTTTGTCAGGTTGCCTGCAAACATTTATTTCAGTATCTATCCTTGTGCATGTCTAACTCTGGTCAGGTTTATGTGTTAGGTGAAACAAAACAAAAGAAGCAACACTGGAAACTGCAAGTTTTGGTGTCTTCAGTTCTCAAGGAAGCATCCTTGTCCCGTGTTCCAGAAACTGAGAGCATCACTCCTGGTAAGCATCAGTTCAGAGCACAGTTCAAAAAAGCCACGTGTTTGTGTGTGTATATATATGTGTATGTATATAAAAGAGTACTCACTGAAATAATACACTACAATGATCTTCAGTTGTAGATTGGTGCTCTTGGCCTGCTATAAGCATGCATGTATACTGCTGTAAATCCTTTAGTGAAACAAGAGCTTTGCATGCAAATTAGAAAACAAAATATTTTTGTAGCTAAGTGTATATTCCCTCCAGTGTGATCAATGGCTTACTCCAGCTATACAGTAAGGATTAGCTGGTAAAGTAAGTAAAAAGGGACAAATTGGGGGGGACTTCCGGGAACAGAAGCCCTTCAGATCAACAGTTGATTAAAACTTTTATGGAGGGAACACGGTAACTGTCAATTCATTCTTAAGGAGTGAAATAGAAAGGAGACATTTGAAATGTGACTGAAGTTGTTAATGTCCTGCTGATGGTAGAAGTAGAGAATCAAGCCGATGAGAAGACAGTCTGAAGCACTTCTGCGTTCCCATGGAGCTGGTGTCTGCATCTCCTCTCCCTCGTGTAACGTTTGTGACCTTGTTATTGTGTGGAGTTGTCTTCGTGCGAGCTCTGCTGCACAGCGATGGTTAGATCCACTTACACACAGGTGTTCTGGAGGGTTTTTTTCTCCGAAAGAAAAAAGCATTTAGTAAACCTGCTGAAAATAGGGGATGAAACAAAGATTAAACCGGTCCTGTTAGAAATCCTTTGTTTGCTTCGCTCCACTCCTGTCAGGTTTGGTTTTCGTTTTTGGTTTTAGTTTTCTCCTAGTGGTAAGTTGTATTTAGCTGTAAATGCCAACTCAGCTTGCTGTGCGAGAACACTATAAAATGGCAGAAAAGGGTCTTTGAATTGCTGCTATCTTTTTGTGAGAGGCAGTCTGGGGCTGCTGCCTGGGGAGAGAAAGGAATAGCAGTTCCTCAATATGAAAAGATCATCCTGATGTTATTAAATGTTTGATTTCAGAGGGGGGGAAGAAAGGCTTGTTGACAAATGGTCGTGTTACTGTCAGGCTGTATTGGCTGCTGCGCTGCTTTGTTCACACGGTGTCAGTCAGCTTCCCACTGCTGTAAAGCCTTTCTTTGTTGTCCTTACGTGTGACGGCACCAGCGACGTCAATTCAACTGCCCGTCGGTGTTTGCATCGCGTGAGGCTGGGCGACAGATTTGCGCCCACCACACTCGGGGGTCTGGCTGGCACTGCGAACGGGTGCTGGAGCCATGCCCTCTGCTCCCTGTTGCTTGGTGTCACCTAATTGCCTTGGGTGCTCTTTTGGGAAATGATTGTGTTCAGGGAGCTGTGCGCGAAAGCGGGCTCTTAAGATGTGATGCTGTCCTCTGTGGGAAGCAGCACTGTTGCATATTCCTGTAATACGTGTCTTTGAAATTACTTTATAGCTTCAGTGTAACGAATAGAGAAGTAATTCAGCTACTGGACTTGCAGTGCTGTGTGCGTGCTTGGCGCAGGTGGGAGGCAGAGTGCCATCCTGGGGTGTCTGCGGCGGAAAGCGCACTAGAGCAGCAGGGTCTTAAAGCGATGATGCTTAGCTTTGTGGTGGCTCTGAATTAGCCCCTGCATCTCAAAGAGGGTGTGACAGAACATGCAGGGAAAGGCTACAAAAACAACAAGAAAGGAATAGGAAATGCTTAATGAGGAAATGCTTAATGAGGAGAGCTTGCGAAAGCTGTGACTCTGGCTTGAAGGGGTGTAGGCTGCGGGAAGGCTGACATAAGCAGCTCAGCGAGTCTCCAGAGGAGGTGACAGGCGGGGTGAGCACAGAACCTGCAGGGAGTGCATATTTTTTCATGTAGCAGAAAGTGAACTTTGGAGCTGGTTGCCACGGAATGTTGTGGGGGCAGATAGGATGTTCTAAAAGGGGTTAGGCAAATTCTTGGACAGCAGGTTGACGAAAAGGGATGTACCCTCTTACCATCCCTGCACAACGCTTCTGGCTGTGAGGGGAGGAGCAGGAGGGGAATGAACTGTAAAGGCTAAACTTGCCTGTCCTCCTTCATGGCTTTTGTAGCTGAGGGCGAGAGCTGCGCACCCCGACCCTCCCCGGCTGACGGGCTTCGCTTGTCATCCACG